TAACGTGGGAATTCCCGAGCCATTAGGCTCGGCAAAAAATAGCCCATTTGAACCCGCATAAACGGGTTCTGGGCCGATTTAACCTCCCGAAGGAGACTCCGCCCTTCGGCGTAGCCTCCTTCGGGTTCCTCTCGCCCGTAGGAAGAGAGTTGAACCGTGCAGTCAGTTCAGAGGTGAACGACTGACAATATTCAGTCACCCCCACGAGGGTGTCATGTGGCACAAGGCCTTTTTAACGTGGGCATTCCCGAGCCATTAGGCCCGGCCAAAAATAGCCCATTTGAACCCGCATAAACGGGTTCTGGGCCGGTTAACCTCCCGAAGGAGACTCCGCCCTTCGGCGTAGCCTCCTTCGGGTTCCTCCCGCCCGTAGGAAGAGAGTACAACCGTGCAGTCAGTTCAGAGGTGAACGACTGACAATATTCAATCACCCCCACGAGGGTGTCATGTGGCACAAGGCCTTTTTAACGTAGGAATTCCCGAGCCATTAGGCTCGGCCAAAAAATAGCCCATTTGAACCCGTATAAACGGGTTCTGGGCCATTAACCTCCCGAAGGAGACTCCGCCCTTCGGCGTAGCCTCCTTCGGGTTCCTCTCGCCCGTAGGAAGAGAGTTGAACCGAACAGTCAGTTCAGAGGTGAACGACTGACAATATTCAGTCACCCCCCCCACGAGGGTGTCATGTGGCACAAGGCATTTTTAACGTGGGCATTCCCGAGCCATTAGGCTCGGCCAAAAAAAAATACCCCATTTGAACCCGTATAAACGGGTTCAGGGCCGAGCCACCTCCCCGAAGGAGACTCCGCCCTTCGGCGTAGCCTCCTTCGGGTTCCTCTCGCCCGTAGGAAGAGAGTTGAACCGAACAGTCAGTTCAGAGGTGAACGACTGACAATATTCAGTCACCCCCACGAGGGTGTCATGTGGCACAAGGGCTTTTTAACGTGGGCATTCCCGAGCCATTAGGCCCGGCCAAAAATAGCCCATTTGAACCCGTATGAACGGGTCCAGGGCCATTTTACCTCCCCGAAGGAGACTCCGCCCTTCGGCGTAGCCTCCTTCGGGTTCCTCACGCCCGTAGGAAGAGAGTTGAACCGAACAGTCAGTTCAGAGGTGAACGACTGACGATATTCAGTCACCCCCCCACGAGGGTGTCATGTGGCACAAGGCCTTTTTAATGTGGGCATTCCCGAGCCATTAGGCCCGGCAAAAATAGCCCATTTGAACCCGTATGAACGGGTCCAGGGCCGAGTTTTACCTCCCCGAAGGAGACTCCGCCCTTCGGCGTAGCCTCCTTCGGGTTCCCTCACGCCCGTAGGAAGAGAGTTGAACCGAACAGTCAGTTCAGAGGTGAACGACTGACAATATTCAGTCACCCCCCACGAGGGTGTCATGTGGCACAAAGGCCTTTTTAACGTGGGCATTCCCGAGCCATTGGGCTCGGCCAAAAAAAGCCTATTTGAACCCGTATAAACGGGTTCTGGGCCAGAGTTACCTCCCGAAGGAGACTCCGCCCTTCGGCGTAGCCTCCTTCGGGTTCCTCTCGCCCGTAGGAAGAGAGTTGAACCGTGCAGTCAGTTCAGAGGTGAACGACTGACAATATTCAGTCACCCCCACGAGGGTGTCATGTGGCACAAGGCCTTTTTTAACGTGGGCATTCCCGAGCCATTAGGCTCGGCCAAAAAATAGCCCATTTGAACCCGTATAAACGGGTTCTGGGCCGATTTTACCTCCCCGAAGGAGACTCCGCCCTACGGCGTAGCCTCCTTCAGGTTCCTCTCGCCCGTAGGAAGAGAGTTGAACCGTGCAGTCAGTTCAGAGGTGAACGACTGACAATATTCAGTCACCCCCCACGAGGGTGTCATGTGGCACAAGGCCTTTTTAACGTGGGCATTCCCGAGCCATTAGGCCCGGCCAAAAATAGCCCATTTGAACCCGCATAAACGGGTTCTGGGCCGGAATTAACCTCCCGAAGGAGACTCCGCCCTTCGGCGTAGCCTCCTTCGGGTTCCTCTCGCCCGTAGGAAGAGAGTTGAACCGTGCAGTCAGTTCAGAGGTGAACGACTGACAATATTCAGTCACCCCCCCACGAGGGTGTCATGTGGCACAAGGCCTTTTTAACGTGGGAATTCCCAAGCCATTAGGCTCGGCCAAAAAATAGCCCATTTGAACCCGTATAAACGGGTTCTGGGCCGGTTTAACCTCCCCGAAGGAGACTCCGCCCTTCGGCGTAGCCTCCTTCGGGTTCCTCTCGCCCGTAGGAAGAGAGTTGAACCGTGCAGTCAGTTCAGAGGTGAACGACTGACTCTTGCCTACTCCCGAGGCGCAGTATTTATTAAGTATGGAATAGTCCATTATTATTATTATGGGTAAGATCCCATAACAGACATTATCAAAAATTTTCCTTAAATAATAATTGAAAAAATAATAATAAAGGTGATAAATGATATATATATATTTATATTTGATAATTTATAATAACTTGTAAATAATTTAAGTAATTTACATTTGTCTTAAATGAAGTATAGTCTATTAGTAATTAAAATTAAAAAATAATATTTTATAACTGTACTTCAATACGACGTATTCATATACAAAGAACCCTTTTAGAAAAAAATCTTTATTTATACAAGTACACATTTAACGGCGAAAGAAAAATGCCGAAAAATTTTTGTCGTTAATAATGACCAGACGACATGCGTTGAACGGATGTCATCATTCGGTGAAAAAGGCACACCTATTTTACCTTGACTTAACCCCTTTTCGAAAGTAACTCATATTTTGATACAATAGTTGTCAATGAAAAAGAATACCCTACCACCCCTTGTTAAAATGATTGGATTTCCCCATATTCATAGAAACTAATATTATGAATGTATGTGCTTATAAAACACAGTAAATTTCAGAATAAGTTATTCTAAAATTAGCTTGAAAATGAAACAGGACAAGAGACTTTAACTTAATTCTATAATTGAATTTGAAGTTTTTAGTTTCTGTTTTTGAAACATGGTAATTCCTGTGTAGTGATAGAACCATATTTTTAAATTAGTAAATTTATAATATTTATGCTCTGTAGATTTCCATTGAGCACTGTTTTGTAAAAATAAAAATAATTACTAAGAACACCGGATTATATATCTTACTGTTCTTTCTTTTCATTATAATATATATATATATATCGTATCACTCGTATTCGAGGATACCCGTTTACTAGGGTAGCAAGCCAATGCTTAATTCGGACGCTCTCTCGGGCCCATTTGTGTTTGTTCAACACCCACAGAGCCCAGCTGTGGTTCATACTTCAAATATTCTGAGCAGACCTTAGTTACAGTTTCTTGGAGAGAGCATGTAATCTAGCGTGATCAACAATTTGAACAAGGCCAGCGCACTCGAACCCTCAGTCACGATGACTTGTGACTTAGTGCTAGCACAGCTATCGACGATCCCCCAAGAGTGCCATCTACCCAATTTCACTCATAAGGCTTGGGTCAACCCGTGGTATGGTTTTCAGGCACTTTCCAAAGATGCCGAACGCTGGGATCGAACCCCTCTCCAGACCGATAGCATCAGGAAGTCTGACTAATCAACCGTGGTGAGATTCGAACCCGAGTCTTATGGTGAGAAAGATAATGTTCTAACCACTCAGCCACGTTTCGGAAATAATATAACAATTTAAATAGTCGTAATGTGCTTACTAAGATCGTTGTTACGATATCTACAAAAATATTTATAAAACATCACGAGACAGTACAAAAATATAAGCCAGTTAGTAACTTTCTTATCCGTCTTCGCCATCTTTTCCCAAAAAAATTGAAGATAGCGACTTCAGCTTAACCAAATGTAATCAAAATGGTTACATCTATACGATACGTATGCTCTTGCCACAAGTAGGATTCATAAGTACACAACGGTAAGAATGATGAAGAAGAATATTTATTCACTCATAAAACGAGTGTACTCGAAATGTTCTCTGTCCGACCAAGATAGAATATTTAAATAAAAAAAGCAAACATTTCTTAATTTTTTTTTTTTTTTGTTTTTTTTTGTGGGGGGGGTGATCAGATTACAGGAAGTGAGATCGGGCTGAGAACATTTTAGAACCCGTTCATAGAAGTGAAAATATGATCGAGGTTAAAGTGCATTGCGGAAATACTCTATCAAGCTTTAGATAAGAATGGTGAGGCTCGGCCTGTTGCTTTGGACATTTCAAATGCTTTCGACAGGGTTTCGCATGCCGGTCTTTTCCACAAGTTGAAAAGTTATCGCGTCTCCGGGCTCATTTTGGAATAGATTCATTCTTTCTTATCAAATCGTGAAATAGATCGATAGATAGACATGAATAGGTTAAAATAGCTATCTAGCTAGCTAGATAGATAGATAGATAATGAATAGGTTGAGATAGATAGATAGATAGATAGATAGATAGATAGATAGATAGATAGATAGATATGAAGAGGTTAAAATAAATAGATAGATAGATAGATAGATAGATAGATAGATAGATATGAAAAGTCTGAGATGCATACATACATACATACATAATAGCTGGCCACTCGTATTCGAAGATACCCGTCTATTAAGGCGGCTAGCCAATCCCTATTGCAGACGCTCGCTCAGAGCCTACCTGTGTTTTATACTGCAACTATGCTGAGAAGACCTTAGTTACAGTTTCTGGGAGAGAGCGTATTATCTAACGTTATCAACAATGTTTACAAAGCTAACTTGTGGCTTTCTGCTAACACAATTATCAACGGCCCTCAAGAGTTCCATCTCCCTAAATTTACTCACAAGTCTTGGGTCAAGCCGTGGAATGCTTTAGGGGCACTTTCCACAGGTGCCGAATGCTGGGTTCGACCTCGATCCATTCCGATAGCATCAGGAAGTTTCCTTCCTGACCAATCGACCATGGTGAGATTCGGACCCTAGTCTCATGGTCAGAAAACACAGGGTCACGCGCCCATACATACATACATACATATGAATAGGTTGAGCTAGCTAGCTAGCTAGCTAGTTAGATAGATAGATAGATAGATAGATAGATAGATAGATAGATAGATACTCCCCTCTGTAACACTGCTTTCTTGGCGTGTATAAGTATTTTCGTGGCAATTGCTCACATGAGATAGATAGATATGAACAGACTGAGATAGATAGATAGATATGAACAGACTGAGATAGATAGATAGATATGAACAGACTGAGATAGATAGATAGATAGATAGATAGATAGATAGATAGATAGATAGATAGATAGATAGATAGATATGAACAGACTGAGGTAGATATGAACAGACTGAGATAGATAGATAGATAGATAGATAGATAGATAGATAGATAGATAGATAGATAGATAGATAGATATGAACCAGGTTCCAAAGAAAAAACAAACGACTAGCATGTATCCTTTCCTTAAATAAAAAAAAATATAGATAGATAGATAAATAGATAGATATTCTTGTGTCTCTTATAAGGAAGGGTATCTTTGAAAATTAAGAGACCACCAACATTTAATTTGAACCTCCAACCTGTTTATTAAATCTCCATGACAACCACCAAATTTTTCATTATTTTTCTAACTTTTGGAACCAAGTACTCAGCATTGAAATAAAGTTTAAAAGACCGGGGCTGCTAAACAAAAATGCTAAAATTGAGAGTTTCATTCTCAAACCCGTGTCTCCTCTGATATATAAAGTCCTGTGAGAGAACAATAAAGTTTTTTTTTGAAAATCTCAAAATTTTCAGTCACTCCTGCTCTCTTCGTCAATGATTGATAGTCACTCGGGTTGACTATCAAATATCAAACGAAGCGGATATAATAAAGCTTTTGAAAGTTTGTAATTTTTTTTTTATTTATAAAGTTCTATGTTCTGATTTAAAACTACATGAGTACTATCTAATTTTATAATTGATCGGTGAAAAATATAGCATCTAAAATATTTTGATATGGTAAAATCGAATTTTTGGTTTTGGGCGTGAGGTTTTTTTTTATTAAGAACTAAGAAAACATTAATACCATTTTCATTACTTTGGAACCAAAGTTCAACGATTTATGACACACGAACATAGGGTTCGAAAACATCAGATATATATATATATATATATATATATATATATATATATATATATATATATATATATATAATTTATTCGAAAATTATAACATAATTTAAACACGCTCCTTAGGTTGTTTACTCGCTGCGAACCCCTTTCCCTCTTGCCTTCAATATGAGTCTCCACTTCTCCTATCCCCTTTTTTTAATGACGCCTCAAAGAAATTTCAGCTGTCATTTTTGATTTTGTGTATAATTTTCCTTTTGGTATCAACTTGCCTTCAATTGTCTTGTTGCTTAAATGCTCACGGTATTCACAGAATCTTTCTGTAGAACCACATTTCTGTTGCTTCAAGTCTCTTCTTTATCTGCTAGGAACTTGTTCAGCATTCACTTTCAAATAGGAGGATCGATATTGCATAGCACTTCATCTCGTTTTCACGTTTCTTAATATGTTGCTTATATTTTAGAAGTCATCTTTTCCTATTCCAATTCGGCTTTCGGTGCTGCATTTTCCGTCCTCTGTTAATGCACTTCCTATATTCGTAAACCTCTGACTCGCATCTTGTGCTTTTATTCTGTTGGTAACAACCAGACATTCTGTGGTCTTACAATTAATAGCTAGTCCGTTCTTCTCGCTTTCCTTCACTGACTTGTCTAAGCGATTCTGTAGTTTTTTGCTCTGTGTCTACCATCGACACAATGTCATCTACATGCGTCACATCCTCAAGATTGTATCAGCTTCTAATAAATAATGGTTTGGTTTGGTTTGTTTTACGGCATATCAACGTCAATGGGGTATTTAATGCCGACAATTTTTTTTTTATTGCTGGTAATATTTTTTCTTAAATGGATTGATAGTAATATTTTTTTTCAAAAATGTATTGCTGGTAATATTTTTTTTTCTAAAAATGCATTGCTGGTAATATTTTTTTTATGTATTGCTGGTTATTTTTTTTCAAAACTGTATTGCTGATAATAATGTATTGCTGGTAATAATCTTTTACAAGAATGTATTGCTGATATTAAAACCTATTTTTACACTTTCATAGTACTTTCAACCCAGTTTGGTTTTAACTATCTGCCCATAGCTGGAACCCTGACAGTTGCTACCACCCCGGGTCAGGGTGGAGCTGGGAACACCAACAATTAAGAGGTGGTTCCATGCTACTCGAAACCTCCCGATCAGAGGCCTTACCGCTGGATGTAGTTTATCGTCTTACCCAGGAGGTGGACGTAGTTTATTGTCTTACCCAGGAGGCGGACGTAGTTTATCGTATTACCCAGGTGGCGGACGTAGTTTATCGTGTTACCCAGGACGCGGACAAAGTTTATCGTGTTACCCAGGATGCGGACGTAGTTTAACGTCTTACCCAGGATGGAATAAATAATGGTGGAATATCTTGCTCCCTTAAGATGGCCTCGCTGTAAATCAGTCCGTTGAGAGCATTCATACTTGTCTTATTCCTCTTTATACTTGTTTATACTTACTAAGATAGGTATGGACTTAAATATAATTTATATATACATTCCTATTCATTTCTTTCTCATCTCAAAGAGGAGCCATTAGAATTATCTAAACAGATTTTTTTTTTGTTGAATCTATTTTCGTAAATTCTGAAAGTCCACAAATGAGCATGACTAAATTATTCAGATCGAAATTCCATACGATGCAATTTTTGGCAAGACATTTTCTCCTCTCGGTCTGATTCATTTGAGTATCGCTTGTCTTCATTTCACGTATTTTATTTATTTCCATTAAATTCAAGGATCAAATTACAAAGTTTTATTCTCAACATATATAAATGGGTAAGGAGATATTGGCATCAAATGGAACACGGCGAAGTCGATTGGTATAGAATGAAACAGAAAAAGACACAGTAGGACAAAGAAAGAAAGAAAGAAAGAAAGAAAGAAAGAAAGAAAGAATTATTTTATTGTTCGTAATAATCTAAGATTTTACAAGTATCCAAAAATATGACTGATTTTCCGGTGATTTCGTAGTGCCTATCATTATGGTTTGGTTTGAATGTCATACTCCTAGGTGATCATGGCTCTCCACAGCTTCTTTTATTATTTATGAATTTCCATGACTTCTTGGGAAAGAGGGTGTAAGAGCTTCCTAATATCTTCACAGTTTGGAATTCAGAGTTTTCCTTTTCGTCAAGATATCACTGATAATGGCTCTCCACAGCTTCCTTTTTCTTTATTGTGTAGAAATTGTCATAAATTATTGGGAAAGAGAGTGTAGGGGCTTCCTAATACCTTCACAGTTTCAAGTACAGTGTATTCCTTTTCGTCAAGATATCACTGATAATGGCTCTCCACAGATTCCTTTTTCTTTATTGTGTATAGATTGTCATAAATTCTTGGAAAAGAGAGTGTAGGGTCTTCCTGATACCTTCACAGTTTCGAATTCAGCGTTTTCCTTTAAGTCAGGACATCGCTGATCAAGTCTTACCACAGATTCTTTTTTCTTTATTATCTGTGAAATTCCATGACTTCTTGGGAAATATAGCGTAGGGTCTTCCTGATACTTTCACAGTTTCGAATTCAGTTTTTTTCCTCATCGCTCAACATGGCTATCCACAGATTCCTTTCTTTTCTTTATCTGTGAATTTTTATGATTTCTTGGGAAATAAGATCTACTAGATTCTTGATATCTTCACAGTTTGAAATTCAGAGGATTTCTTTTCTTCAGGACATCGCTGGCCATGGCTCTCCAAAGATACCTTTTTTTCTTTATTATCTGTGAACTTCCATGAAAAGATCGTTTATTAGTTTCCTGTTTCCTTCCCCACAATTTGGTTCAGAGCTTTCCGTTTTTCAGGACATAAAGCGGTCATTATTCTCCACATATTCCTATCCGTTTATTATCTATGAAATTCCATAAATTCTCGAGGAAATATAGTATAGGGGCATTCAGATAGCTTCAGAGTTGGGAATTCAGTATTGTTCTTTACTTGGGGACAGAAGATATCATGGCTCTCCACAGATGAATGAATTATCATGAATTATTGGGGAAGATTATACTATTTGCTACCGGAAGTAAGCACAATAATATACTGGAATTTATTTATGTATTTAGATAGATAGATAGATAGATAGATAGATAGATAGATAGATAGATAGATAGATAGATAGATAGATAGATAGTGAACACATTGAGAGACCGATGAAGATAGATAGATAGATAGATAGATAGATAGATAGATAGATAGATAGATATAGAACACATTGAGAGACCGATGAAGATAGATAGATAGATAGATAGATAGATAGATAGATAGATAGATATGAACAGACTGAGATATATATGAACAGGATGAGATAGATAGATAGATAGATAGATAGATAGATAGATAGATAGAAAACACGTTATGATAGATAGATAGATAGATAGATAGATAGATAGATAGATAGATAGATAGAATAGACTCATGCTCAGACTGCCAAAATATTTTTTGAAAATAAATAATCTGAAGTGTTCAGAGCAACTGAAGCCATTTATCATCCTTTCGTAATTTTATTAATGCCAGCCAAGTTTGTAAACTTCTATTCAACTGGCCGATAAATCAAGAAATTACGGACTTCTATTTACCACACTGTAATACACAAAAGATGCTGAATTTGGCTGAGCTGCCAACACCGATTCAAAATGACAGACAGGTCAGGCTCTTTACTTTAAATTCATCCCGCACGGATTTTCAGCTGAATACCTTGCAAAATCCACGATATGCATGAACCTTGACTACAACAATTCGTAATGGTAAACGAGTTCTGAAGGCAACATTTGGTATAATTTTAATTCACTGACGTTTGGATATTACAGTGTTCTCTTTCAATGGCACACATTACGTTGACGAGAGACCGCTTTCTGACAATAGCGTGCAAAATTAGTTCTACGATGATTGGCCCCAGGGAATAATTTAGTGTCGTGACGCATCAAGCAATACCCTGAGCGACCACTTTCATCATCCTCATCATCATCATCATCATCGTTGTCGTCATCATTATCGTCGTCGTTTTTGTTATCATTATCATCATCATCGTTGTTGCGGTCTTCATCATTGTCATCATCGTCGTCGTCGTCGTTTTCGTCATCATCATCATCGCTGTCGTCGTCGTCGTCTTCATTATCATCGCCGTTGTCGTTATCATCATTATCATCGTTGGTGTGGTCTTCGTCATTGTCATCATCGTCGTCGTCATCGTCATCATCATCGTCATCGTCGTCGTTGTCGTCATCATCATCATCGTCGTCGTTGTCGTCATCATGATCATCATCGTTGTCGTCGTCGTCATCATCATTGTCGTCGTCGCTGTCTTCATCATCATCATGATCATCATCGTTGTCGTCGTCGCCATCGTCGTCATCATCATCGTCGTCGTAGTCGTCATCCTAGTCATCATCATCATCACTCCCGTCGCCGGGTGTGTTTGTAGCGACTGACCAGCTCCCTCCTCATGTCTCGGTTGCGTACCAATCTCTGAGTCTCCGTGAAGGATCTTCCACGTCACTTAGTGATATTATCAGCACGTTTCTGTTTATATTTTCAAAATTTAAAAATTCCCAGCGTCTCTCGCCGATGCGCATTAGTAGTCACATTAACATCGAACCAACCTAGTCTGAGGAAGTCCTAAGGAACGAAACGCGTCACACGAAAACTGTGTCCACTTTGCCACACACACACGCATACACAAACACACACACACACGCACACGTACACATTTACAGTTGTGTCTCGTTACATTTTAATCTTGTATGCACATTACAGTCCTTTATCGTCGCTAAGATAATAATGTTAGAATATGTGTAGGTTTATGTATGTATAAGTGTATGCATGTGTGTGTATATATATGTATCTGTATATGTATATGTGTGTATGTATGTACATATATATATATATATGTGTGTTTACGTATGTCTATGTATGTGTTTATATATAAATGTATATGTTTGTATGTGGGTATATATGTATGTGTTTGTATATGTGTGTATATATGTATATATATATATATATATATATATATGTGTGTGTGTGTGTGTATATGTTTAGTTTATTTACTTTTTATGTTGCTGTGTAGGTTGATATATATATATTTATTTCTATGTGTGTATATATGCATATGCGTATGGGTGTATGTATGTGTGTATATATGTATGTATGTATATGTGTATATATAGGTATATATATATATATGTATATGGGTATATGTGTATGTATATGTGAGTAGGTATCCTTTTATATGTTTCTATCTGTAGTGAAGAATGTGTGTACACATATAAGTATATGTTTTCTTGTATATTATTTTCCTTCACATAATTTTATGTATTTGTACCCGTAAATGAGTACTAATACTTATATAGGTATATATTAGATATTTAAGTATATTTATGTGTTTAGGAGGGTTTTTTATATGTTAGATAGTGTTATTCTTATGTGTATATATTTATTTTTCTATCCATTTCTATATATTTTAGTGTCCTTTTTACCTTATGTTGTTCATTGACGAATATTTGTTTTTCTATTTTGCCCAAATTAAATGTTATTTAATGAACCATTTTTATCTCTATATCTTTGCCCGTGTAAGTCATATTTTAATAGTATGTTTGAATTCGTTTACAAACACTTTCACATGTGAATATTTCTTGGTGTGTGTGTGTGTGTGTGTCTTTATCAATGTATGTGTGCATAATCGCTTTCATTGTATGTATATGTTGTCGTTTGTTTTTTGGGTTTTTTTAAGGGTCGTGGACACATATTTCCTGTTACGTTGCTTTTTTGCGTGTTTATATATATAAATATGTCTACATGTTTGTGTATTATAATCTGATTGTGTATGTATTGTCTTTTGCAAGATTTCACCCTCCCCTGCCCATATCATCACTTCAAATGTATGTAAATTGGAACGAAGCTCAGAGCAACATTAGATTTTAACGTTTATTCCAACTTAATTTTTGGCCTTTCAATAAAAACAAAATAAATAACAAAACTTGTGTATTTTTTCCTCAATTTCTTCTTTGAATATAATTTTATAATTTCTTATACTTAATATAGATTAAATTCAAAATTTAAGATTGGTAATTTTGAATTTTATACTTGTCATGGGTCCTTACCTATAACTACAGAATGCACACTTCCTAACACTATGTATACTACGCCTATCAAGAGAGCGGGACGATTCAAGCCGAGCTTCTCGGCTTGACGGTCGAACTCTCTGCCTCTGAGCAGGGAGGAACCCGGACGAGGCTCCGCCGAAGGGCAGAGTTTCGTTCGGGGAAGTTGACCAACCCGATCCCGTTTATACGGGTTCTACGGACATTTTTTGGCCGAGCCTACAGGCTCGGGAAACCCACGTTACACTCGGCCTTGTGCCACATGCAACCCTCGTGGGGGGGAGGGGCTAGATACCGAATCGAGTCGAGCCGATAGTAGTTCACTCCAAACCATACTGACAGTCATACTAACACCTTCCACATCTTGTATTATCATTTCGTGTAATATACCTTCGTTATTTCTATTCTTTTCTTCGTGTTGTTCTTCCTTGGTCCTAACCTGGACCATAACAATAGTATAATTTAATATTAATTAGTTAGAATGAATTCTATTTTAGTCTAACCCTAACATTAAAGCATTAAATATTTATTATATCCTTAGTTCATTGTCAAGTTTTTTGAATTCTCATATACTTGTATTTTGATTGGTCACTCCAGCTTATGTAACAGCGTTTCCCCTTAGCGAAGTGTGTTTGATTGATTGGAACATTTTAAAATCCTTTATTATACATTCAACCCCATCACTTGATAAGACACCAGAGGTATTGAAACAAAATGGCTATTTTTGTAGTGATTTTATAACATATTTATGTTATAATTTTCGAATAAATAATTATCCGTTTCCTTTTCTCCTCTCCTCACTTCAATAATGTAAATCACCAGAAATTTTTCTATGTCGAGTAATTTAGACATTTATTTTCTGTTCTCTTGTGGTGTAATATATTGTCTGAATAAATTTCAGCGATTTATGTAATTTCGTTCTCAAGAGACAAATATTAAAAACTTATTTGTTGAAATAAATTTATTGTCGAATTCTTCGATATGCTGAGTTTTATCGTTTGGTGTATATCATATTGCTCTGTATATAAATGCATTAATCTCTCTTCATGGATCTATCTTTATAATAATTTATACTATAAAGACCTACTTAGATTATCCTTACCAATTACGGATTTTATATTATATATATTATGAAATGGACAATGTCCGACAATTATTTTTAAGACATTTTTATGTTTATACATTCTTTTTATAGATACAAATATTTAAGTAAATGCTCTGTTTTTATAATAAACAGTATTTATAAAATTTACCGGCCTGAATGTCCGAGAAATTTATCCTGTCCGAGGACGAATATTTTCTATGAAAATTTCTCGAACACTCAGGCCGGTAAATGTTATAACCTGAAATAAAATATTTTTTATTGAAAAAGCAAACAAAACAGCAATTTTTTTAACAAATAACTCGCCTACAAAAACGCCTAATTATTCACCAGCCCAATACACACACACACACACATACACACACACACACACACACACATACACACATGTACATACACAGATAGATAGATAGATAGATAGATAGATAGATAGATAGATATAAATTGCCCCACGGTTTTCCACCAACACTCATTGTGCAATATTTCATACAGCAATAGCAGTACTAATCAGCCGGCAGGTGAGGTTTAAGACTTCACTAGTGCATGTTAGCGTTGATACGTGAATTTGGCGACATAGTAAATGTGAGTTCAATTCCTGGACGATCAGTTTGTACTTTGATTCAGTGGAAACGGTCGCGCAGAAACTAAGCAGTACTAAAAATAAGAACTAGTCATAGACATTAAAACGCGAACAAGAACCATTGTGTCACCTCCTACATAGATGTTATAAAGAATCTAAATGCAACAAGGTTTAATTTGAGAAAAGTTAATTAAATATTTCAGCGCATTCTTATTATCAGTAAATCATGATACACGTTTTACTTCCTTTTGTGTAAAAGGAAAATGGATGAATTTAATAATTATCTCACAGCTTACAAATAAAAGGTTACAGCAGATTTTAAATGTTTTATTCCACTCTTTGTGACCTAGGGAAGGTTACTGAATAGAATAATCAAACGAAGGTTGGTAATGAACGATAATACTTAGGACAAGAACAACACATATAAGATTCGTCACCGGCGCGTAGAAGTAGTCAACTGCTAGAAGTGAGTCAAGTGAATTCCACAATCAATCTCCAACGGCAGGATATCTACCAACCGCGCCACGCGGTCAGATGTAGCACAAGGCCGAATTTAATGTGGGGTATCCGACCCCGGAGGTGTAGCCAAAAATTCCCCGTAGACACCGTATAAAACGGAGTCGGGTAGCTGTTTCCCGAGACGAGACTCTGCCTTCGACATAGCCTCGTCTGGGGATCCTCTCTGCCCGGAGGCAGAGAGTTTGACCAACACAACTGGAGACGTATCTCCAACTACAGACCAACATACAGTATTTACTACTGTATTTATGTAAATGGGGACATATCCATTATCCTCCGTATGTATGCTATAACATCCACTTTATGCGAATAAGTTTTCTCAGATCAATGAATAAAAATGACTTCAGACGAAGGAATTCCTTTACGCCTGAAATAAGAAATACCTTCATCGTATTTTACAGTCTAGCACTACAGAATACCAAACAGGGAACTTTACCAAACGAAGACCTTTAACAACAACAGCAACAACTAAAATGGACAGCACAGAAGAACAAACGATGATATTGGCAGGATACAGAAGGCGCTTAACTGCCTTTGGTGGAGATAAGTCATGCGGGTCACATGACAGCCACTTCGTGACGTCACTTCATACAGTGACCCATGAGGCAGTCATCCGTCAGTCCGTAAACAGCAACCAAACGAAAATGTTGTTTTCATCTAACCTGATCCAAAAGGCTCAGACTGAAACTAAAGCTCCCCCCTCATGCAGCTTGGAAGCAGGTGGCGCCGTTTCTATTTGGAACATAGATGAATCCGGTCAGTTTAAATTCAGGGTCCTAAGTATCTCCAAAATATATGTAAGATCTTTCCTTTTTGCTCCTTATTATACTTTTCTTTTCTATGTAGATAAACAGCGCGACGCAAAAGTGTTTGCACCGATAACATTTCCAGAATATAATAATTTAAACAATTGCAATAGCTTTTGTAAACATTAGAATGAATATATTTAATTTAAAATGACATGTCCAACGTGATATAAAAGTTTAATATTTATTTAACGATTTCTATATACATGGTGTTTTCATAAAGTTCGTGTGCACTTTAAAAATTTATAACTTTATTTGTATTTGCGATAGAAATAATGTGTAAAAAATGTTATAAAGTTTAATGTACCTAGTTTTAAGTATAGCTAAAATAACTAATGTGATTTCAGGCATTACTGTAAATCAGGTGGCAAATGTTTTCCGTGAACTGCAAAATCGTATTACCCTTTGTATTGCTAATGATGGAGGACATGTGGAAACTTAAACAAAATTTCAATAAAACCTTAAAAGTCTGTCTATATTTCTGAGATGAGGTATTATGTACATTATGTACATTATTCGGGCTATTGTCCTCATCATTGTCGCCATATTTATCACAACGTTTCGGCCATTGTACGCTCTGGCCTTCTTCAGGTGGTTGGAATTTCGAACTGAACCCTTTATTTCGCTCACTGGAGTAGACTGTTCTAGTTCTACGTGCCATGTTTTTGATGGATGTCAGTTATCAGTTATCTCCTGTTAATTTCCCTCTGAAAGTTCTCCACTGCCTTAACCGGGTATTGAACTCACACTCTTTGGGTCCTGTCACTGGATCTAACCAACGCCTTTATCCACTGTACCATGTATCCTTGAGAGAGAGAGAGAGACAGAGAGAGACAGAGAGAAGTGAACATTGAAGTCAACACTGGGAGGCTGCTACAAAAACTCTCCTGCTATACAAGGTGTCCATAAAGTTCGTGTGCCAAATGATTTACAGTAATGCCTGAAGTCACATTAGTTATTGTAGCTATATTTAAAACTAGGTACATTAAATTTTATAACATTTTTGACAGATTATTTCTATCGCAAATAAAGTTATAAATTTTTTAAAGTGCACACAAATTTTATGGACACCCTGTATTTCAGGTGACTCAAAAGTGTTTTTAGAAATCATAAATTTTAAAATAATGGCTCGTGGGAAGATGCTTACTACTGATGAAAAAGCCAAAATATCAAAATGACTCACAAATGATAAAACCAGACTGGAAATAGGAAAAATGAGTAAACGAGATCATCACACAGGGGAGCAATATGTCGATGACGGTAAAGTTAAGCGCAAGAAGCACAAGGATGGTCACCCATGTGTAGTTAACAAGAGAGATTTAAGAAAAATTAAAAGAGCACTGAAACAGCACTCTTCAAAGCAGCAGTAAAGAGATTTTTAAGCAAGCTGAAGAAGTATCGAAAAGCAACACGAAATCGCATCCTCCGTGGTATGGCAAAACAGCGTTCTCCAATTTCATGCCCTCCGTTGAGCGAAATAAATCTCCCCAAGAAGTTAGAGTGGGCAAACAATTACTTCAAAATTGATTTCCAAAGAGTAATTTGGACGGATGAAACTCCGAGCTGCATTAGACGACCTCTGAAGGGTGGAAAAACAGGTTGGCTCATTTATGGTGGAATTCCTTGCTTGCATTTTAAACACCAACAAGGCGGTTATGGAGTGATGTTCTGGACTGGAATTTGTGGCTCGACATTAATTGGACCATTTCTTGTGCCAAAAAGACTGAAACTGAATTCAGCTAATTATTGCCAATTTTTAAAAAAAAAATTTCATACCCTGGTTGAATTCATAAAATTATAAGTTCCGTAGTAATCTTATTTATCAGCAAGTTAATCCCCCCCAGCCATGCGGCACGTTTCACCAAAGAATGGTTGGAAAATCAAGGTTTTAGAGAGGACAAGATTATGGTATGGCCACCACAGTCCCGATTTAAACCCTATTGAGAACTTTCGGGCCATGATAAAGCGTCGAGTTTATGAAAATGGACTGTAATTTTCTAACAAGGATCACCTGTGGAAGGGCATTTTGGATGTTCGTTCTAAAATTACAGCCAGCGAAGTTAGGAAACTCACTTCACCAGTCGATAAACGACTTAGTGAGCTTCTTAAGAATGATGGTCGAAAAATTAAATATTAATTTAGCTTCCTAATCAATTGTACAAAATAATGAAAAGGTGTATTATGTAAATTAAATATTAATGTGCTCCTTGTGTTTTCATATATTGATATCTAAACAAAGCCATACCAACTTTCATTGGTATATAATATATAATACACCTTTTCATTATTTTGTACGATTGATTTGAACAGGATCAATTTTTTGAATTAAAATTAAAGTTTGCAAAAACTTTTGAATCGGAATTATTTCCTTATTAATAAAAAAAACTTGAATAAAGTTAATTTTCGTAAATTATTCTAAGATGTAATGTTTGGGTACTGGGCGAGCAGTAAGGAATTAAAATATTCAACTTTTGTCAAGAAAAGCATATTTTATTAGAGAAAATATAAAATGATGTTAGAAATTGAAGTTTACAAGGATACGGAAGATGAATAACATTGACATTTGACTTGAACAGTTTAAGCTTCTAGTATCCATGAAAGGCCCCACGAGGGAGTCTGTTTTACAAGATAGGAGATCTTGGGAATAAAATTGAGTGGAACTTTTTTCTTTACTTAGAACTTTGGAAATGGGAACCAGAATTCATTCCTCTGCGATGTTGATTATCGTTATTGTCCAGAACACAATTTGAGAACAAATCTTGGCAAAGTGGGTTTGCTGAATTCGTATCTTTGCTAATGTCAGACAAGCAAATTCAATTTACAATTTTACAACAAATTTCCAATATGATTTATAAGTTTTTTTTCCCTTTACATCCGAAAGTAGATTTGACATATCAATTCAGCGGAAAATTAAATTGAGAACAAATATAAAATCTTATGAATTCTTGACGAATTATTATTATGCCAGTACATTCAATGCAGCCACACTCGAGAGTATGTATGTATTTATAGATAGATAGATAGATAGATAGATAGATAGATAGATAGATAGATATGTATGTGTGTGTGTATGCGTGTGTGTGCAGAGAGAAAGAGAGTGACATATGTCAGCTATGTGAGGATGAATTAAGTTGTGGCCGGCGAAAGGAGACACTGTTTTTACACACACACACACACACACACACACACACACACACACACACATATATATATATATATATATATATATATATATATATATATATATATATATATATATATATATATATATAGTTTTAAAGTAAAAAAGTAAAAGATACGGTCTGAAGATATTTATGGGTGAAAGCATATGCTGAAGATTGCGTTGAAGCATGAAACAAAAAGCTGCCGCTTTGTGTTGACTTATATATATATATATATATTAGAAATTAACTGATTTAAAATATGGTTTCTTCGCTACACAGTAATAACCATGCTTCAAAAACTGAAGCTAAAAACCTCAAATTTAATTATATAATTAAATTAAAAGCATTAAATTCGCTTGAAGATGAAACAGAACTAACGCTTTTATTTAATTATATAATTAAATTTGAAGTTTTAGCTTCAGTTTTTGAAACATGGATATTACTGTCTAGCGAAGAAACCATATTTTAAATCAGTTAATTTATAATATCTATGCTCTGTAAATTTACATTGAGCACTATTTTGTAAAAATAAAAATAATATATGGATTATATAGCTTACTATTCTTTCTTATTCATATATACATACACACACATATATATATATATATACACACTTGTATGCGTGTGTCTCTGTGTCTGTGTATTTGTGTGTGTGTGTGTGTGTGTGTGTGTGTGTGTGTGTGTGTGTGTGTGTGTGTGTGTGTGTGTGTGTGAAGATGAAGAGAAAAAGTGAAAACTTTTATTAAAGACGCGTTTGGATTCCTAAATGTAAGCTCTGTATGAGGACAAATGGAATTTCTGAAGATAATTGGGATCATAAATCAAATTAATTACCCTAGCTCATCATCTTTTTACATACTTAGAAAGTGTCTGTTCATCTGCATATCTCTATCAGAGTTGTTTGGTACTGTAGGATTTAAAATCAGTCATATTTTGTTGTTATATCTATCTATCTATCTATCTATCTATCTATCTATCTATCTATCTATCTATCTATCGTCCTCTCTCTCCTTATCTCTCTCTATCTATCTGTCTATATATATATATAGACAGAGAGATAGAGCGGGTGTAAATATAAAAGTGAACATAGAAGTCAACACTTAGAGGCGACAGTATGTTTCATGCTATATGCAATCGTCAGGCCACATGTGATGTTATTTTTTTTTCCGCTATTTATATATATACGGGTCACAATGGTGCATTGTGGGTATCTATATAAACAGTTAAAAAAAAACTAAATACACGTGGCCTGACGATTGCATCTAGCATGAAACAGACTGTCGCCTCTAAGTGTTGACTTCTATGGTCACTTTTATATATATATATATATATATTATTTATTTGAAAATTATAACATAAATATGTTATAAATTCACTACAAAAATACATTTTGTTTCAACACTTCTGGTGTCTTATCAAGTGATGGTGTTGAATGTAGAATAAAGTGTTTTAAAAGGTTCAAATCAATCAAACACACCGCGCTATTTGTGAACGCAATTATCTGGTACTTAATTGACCGGGACGCAAATGTGCAGGGACGCAATTACCTGATACGTAATTGACCGGGACCAAATATCCAGGGACGCAATTATCTGGTACGTAATTGACCGGGACGCAAATGTCCATTACGCGACTGTCCGTCCACCATCTCTTTCCATCAGTGGGGAGATTGTCCAACATTCACGGCTGCACAAGAGGATTGATGAATAGAGCAGGAGCTATATTTAGACCGGAATAGGACAAGCACAATGTTGTTTGTCAAGGACACTGAAACAAGAAATACAATATGCATAAGAATATCGAGCGATACAAATGCAGAAGGACGTACAGATATGTCACGAGAAAATATTTGACAAAATACGGCACAAGGATGATTTGAATTTACTTGAAAATTTACGAGACCATATTTATCCTGGGTGTGACGATAAACTACATCCGGCAGTAAGGCCTCTGATCGGGAGATTTTGATGAATATAGAACCACCTCTTAATTGCAGTTATTCCCAGATCCTCCCTGACTGAAGGTGGTGGTACCTGTTGGGGTCCCAAGCAATTCATTTGACTTTCGACAAAAAACTCTCTTTACAAAAATATGTTAACGAAACCTCATCTACAAACTGATTTCTTACAAATACATATTATATTCCTACGAATCCCTCGTAAATATCTTGTCAGCATAAAAACCCAATGAGGTGTTCATATGCCCTAAAACAAAATAAATAAATGAACGAGACCATTATATTTAGTCAAATGTGCCCCCCACCCCCACTCCGTACTGTAATAACACTGGATAGATTTCTTAACTGTCAGACTATTAGGTTGGCCAGAAAGTCTTGACTCACTTAGGAAGCGGAAAGGAAACAATAAATTTTGATCTCTGTTTGGTGTTTTTTGCCAAGGGTTATGGCATTTCCAGGTTTTTCCACACGGTCACGCCATCAGCGCTAAGCATTATTGCTAGCAGCTACACCGCGTGTACGACAAACTAAAGGAGTACCCTGCTTTGTTCAATCAGGTTTTGAGGTTGGGCTTTGTTTCAGCAAGAGAATGCAAGGCCACACACTGACTAAGGAGAAGTACAAACAAATAGACGGTGTTGAGATTCTTTCACATCCAACATTCAATTCCGACGCTGCTCCGAGTGACTCTCGCCTTGTTATATTCCGCGCTAATAGGAATATGGAAATGACAAATACAGTGGATAAATAGTAACAGGTTTATTGTAGAAACCAGTACAACAAGCACGGAAGGAATAGTTATGCGCACGGTCGTCGCAAGTCAGTACAGCTGTGTGCGTGCTGCTATCAGAAGGCCGCTAGTCTTGCCGATCCCAGCTCGATGCTATTTAGCAACTGTCCCACGCAGTCACGTGTGGCACAAGGCCGAATTTAAAGTGGGGCTCCCGAGCCCGTAACCTCGGCAAAAAAATCCCCGTAGACCCCGTATAAACAGGATCGGGTCTGTCTACCTCCCCGGACGAAACTCTGCCCTTCGGCATATCCTCGTCCGGATTCCTCTCTGCCCGAAGGCAGAGAGCTCGACTAGCGCAGCTGGGAAAGATCCCAGCTCGACTCTCCTGTCCGCTCTCCTAACGCATACTTATAAGTGGTTACCGCCTATAGTGCCGCCACTCATGGGGGTGGCAGGTTATTCCATCACATCAGGCCTATTCCCTTCAATGGCACAATTCCTCCGCGACCAGCGATTCAACACTTTTGATGAAGTGAAGTAAGCTTGCTTACAGTTTGTTTCTTTTATTCAGAGCCAGCAGACTGGTATCTGGGACAGATTCGGATGCTGGCCGATCGATGGCATAAGATCGTCGAGAATGACGGACTTTATTTTGAAGAATAAAATGTTGGTGTTGCTTCCTAAAATTTTGTTGTTTTCTTTCCGCTTGTTAAGTGAGTCAGAACTTTCTGGCCAACTTAATACATCTATTCAGGGAGGATATTAGAATAATTCAAAACTTATACTGGGGGCATTCGACTTTATACGAAGCGAACAGGAATCGAGTAGCTACACAAAAATAAAAAGAGAGCAAGACAAGGATATGCCTTCTCCCTAGGTGTGTTCAACATCTACAGTGAGGCTACTCTACGAGAACTGTAGACCCTATCAGGACATACAGGGTGTCCATAGAGTTCGTGTGCACTTTAAAAAAATTATAATTTTTATTTGTATTTGTGATAGAAATAATTTGTAAAAAGGATGAGAAAGAAGTAAACCTATATTTTTTAAGGTTTTATTGAAATTTTATTTAACTTTCGACATGTCCTCCATCATTAGCAATACAAAGGGTAATACGATTTTGCAGTTCACGGAAAACATTTGCCAACTGATTTACAGTAATGCCTGAAATCGCATTAGTTATTTTAGCTATACTTAAAACTAGGTACATTAAACTTTATAACATATTTACAGATTATTTCTATCGCAAATACAAATAAAGTTATAAATTTTTAATGTGCACACGCACTTTATAGACAGCCTGTATTATCGGGGGACATAATGTTAGCAATATAAGATACGCCCATAAGACTGTGCTGACAGCCGACACAGACTGAAAACTACAGGACCCCCGAAAAAATGCAGCAAAGGAAAGCCAGAAGAAATAATTAACCATGAACTGTAAGAAAACAGAAATTATGGTTACAAACAAGAGAAAAATCCAAAGATTTGACCTACGAATTAGAGATGCCAACATCAAATAAGTACAGAAGTATACACATATCTGGGGAGTGAATTAACAGCGGATGGAAGAGCCGACACCGAGTTCCGAACGCGCATTGGATTGTCGAAGGATGCATTTTAGATGTTAAACAAATAACTAAAACAACACATTTTTGTTAAGTAACAAAGAAAGGAGTACTGAATTACGATGTGGTATCAGTCCTCTTGCAGAGCCGGAAATGCCGGACAATCTCCCCAATGATGAAGAGGAAACTGGAGGCAACAAAATATGGTTCTACAGAAGGATACTGAGAATTCCATAGATGGCGCGAATAAGCAACGAATATGTCTTAAAGAAAATAGCAACAAAAAGAAAACTTATACTTTGAATCAGAAAGAGACAACTGAAATCTATTGGGCACTGTTGTAGCGTACCTACAGACGATAATGGATATTCCCCCATTCCCATAAATACAGTAGTGAATACTGTAAGTGGGGGTCGGCCGGTCCGCAGTTGGAGATTCGTCTTCAGCTGTGCTGGTCAAATTCTTTGTCTCCGGGAAGAGAGCATCCCCAGACGGTGAAATGCCGAAAAGCAGAGTCTCGTCTCGGAAAACACCTACCCTACCCCGTTTTATACGGTGTCTACGGGGAATTTTTGGCTGAACCAATGTGCCACGTCTGACTGCGCAAGGCTGTTGGTAGATACCGTCTACCGGTCTGTAGTTGGAGATTTGTCTTCAGCTTGGCTGGTTAAGCTCTCTGCCT